GGGGAGGAACGACACAAAAACAAAAAACCCACAAAAAAAACAAAAAAACGCACAAAACAAAAAACAAGAACAACAAAAACCACCTCTTTTCAAAGGCAGGGGTTATTAAACATTCAACGACTTAGGGGCCTCCAGCCTCTTTCCCCAGGAGGGTTGAGTCGAAGCCTAGCCATCCATCTGTCTGATTTAGGCTCAAGCTAGAGAAGCAGGGAGCCAGATAAACAATTCGTGACGGCTAGATGTTCTCAGACTTCTCTCTCAGGCCTCTGATGAATGCGCTAAAGACTGAAAACGTAAAGGCGCTATGAAGTGATAGGTATTTAAGGATTGCTCTGTCAGATAATACGGAGGCACCATTTGGCCGGTCACAGAGAAGAAGTCCTATCTCAGATCAAAGCACTCATGCTGTGCTTCTGTTTGCTCAAAGACTGTTCAGGTTTCAAGGAGAAAGGAGTTTACAGTCCCCTGATGATACCATTATAAACTGTCAGGTCATAGGAGAAAATGACCTTGTGATTGCACATCAGAGCCATGAAAAATCAAAGTGGAGCAAAGGCAAAAATCTGGTATATGAAGCTTCCCCCGTTTTTCAAAGCTACATATGCTCCTACCTCGTTTTGTTATTTCTTAATATTTAATCCTCGCAGTCAAGGTGTGAGGGCAGAAAAGGCAATACTACTTTTGTCACGTTAGCACATTTTCCTTATGGTGCTTAAACGAATTAAACTTAGCCACCAAGTACCATGGTCTTTATCATTCCTAAAAGTGCACGCTTATCAAGATCGTGAACAAACCTTTAGAGCGCGAGCGTCGCTTTCATCTGAATCCCGGAACTCTACACAGACTGCGATGTTCCTCGCCTAGAAAGGATTAATCATTCAAAATGAGTCCTGGAACCGGAGAACGGTAAATAACATGTTACACTCCAAAATGTACAGTTCACGCTGCGTTACCTTGGCAAATGTCTTCTGGCTATCATATTTTAATTGCAAGGGATAGACATACAGATGGTTTTTATAAACAGTAAACGGATAACAATATTTTGTCATTTCTGGAACAAACTCTTCGACCTCCACGGTAATATTTTGACAATTCTTTTCGAAAGGCTTCAGGGGCACATATGAGGAAGTAATGCAATCTATATCGGAAAAAAAAAAAGAAAAGAGGCAAAGAGAAAACAAGTGAGATGATGGACACATTACTGCATTGATAAAAATATACGTGGACTGTGTTCCCAAAGAGCGATTTAACAGATTTCTGAGCGGCTGACGAAAGTCCTACAACCACTGTAAGAACCCAGAAGGACAAGATGGCGTAGCCTGGGCCTGATTTGAGTGGAACCATCCAAACCAGACACGGATTGCTAGTTCCTTCTCAATGTGGAATGATTTGCCAAATATAACACATCATAATTTTGACAAATTTAACTCTGCAGAGAAATCCATTACATTTCTCCTCCTAGGGCTGCAATTTAGCTTTCACTGCAAATTTTTATCGGTATCGGGGAACTAACAGCAAATGTAGGTCTCCAATTAGCTCATGGATAGTCACTCTGAAAAACTTGGTGCAGGTGCAATTTTCACCCAGGAAATAACGGAGGCCTTTGGAAACAACAGATCTTGGGATGTGCTACCAGTGATAAATTCAACACTCCCGAAGGTGAAATACACAAAGGCTCAGAAAAGGGCGGCAGCCTGGGTTACTGAAGTAGCCATCACGGGGCACCCGGGTGGCTCAATACGTTAGGCATCCAGCTGTGTCTCAGGTCATGATCTCGCGGTTCGTGAGTTCGAGCCCCACGTCGGGCTCTGTGCTGACAGCTCGGAGCCTGGAGCCTGCTTCAGATTCTGTGTCTCCCTCTCTCTCTGCCCCTTCCCTGCTCATGCGCACGCGCTCGCTCTCTCTCTCTCTCTCTCAAAAATAAACGTTTAAACAAAAATTGAAGTAGCCATTGGCATAGAGGGGATTCATATACTGATGGAGCCCTCAGATGGTTTCTCCTTGCTGCACAGAGGTATTGACAGAGCAGGGAGACCCAGGGAAGAGTCATAGATGATGAGGGTATGGTTTCCTCCAATTACTGTGATACTTACAACAGACTCTCTGGAGATACAGAAGAAAGGCACACAGAAACAAGTGACCACTCTACTATCCCAAGATAACTACTGTTAGTATTTTGGCGTATTTTCTTCTAGTCTCCTTTCCATGCATGTTCTGTATAATAATACAAAAAATCCTACTGTATATACAGAACTTTACCCTGGGATATTTTTAGCATTTGATGTACCGTTTTGTCCAGTGAGTTCTTTATAAACATCATTTCTCTGGGCTACATAAAGTCTCCCGGTATAGGTGGACCGTAACTGCCTTAACCACACTGACAGTGCTGGACTCTTAGGTTGTTTCCAATTTCCCTCCAATATAAACAACATGGAAAAGAACACCTAAGAGTACAGTGGTTTATGTTGTCAGTTCCAGAGCCGAAGGAAGGCCCCTGTTGGCCCCCCTTCCTAATGCAGTCCGCCCCAATCACAGATTCGAGTCGCTCGTTTGTTTTCTTACTTAGTGTCAGTCACTCCTTCTAGACTTTAATCCCCATAATTGCAAGGCATCTTGTAGCTATGCAATAAGTGTTTATTCAATAAATGCTGATTCAGTGAATGAATGGATAGATAGCAGCTCAGAATCAAAATGCCTTAGTTACGGACATCGGTGAATGTCGATTGCCTCCTGTACTCCTGTACTCCTGCACACTGTAGTCCTCCTCACGGTCGGTGAGGGGGCCTGGCTAAAACCTAGCCAGCATTAGATAGTCTCACGTTAAATATTCTCGTAAATTTGACAGAGGAGCAAAAGCATCTTGCAATTTTCATTTGCATTCGGGGCATTAGTACTAAGATTTGAACATTTTCCCAGTTCTTATTAGCCACTCCATTTTATTTCTTACCAAGTGCCTTTTCTGTCTTCTGTCCATTTTTCTCCCGAGATCTGAAATTGCTGGCTTTAGAGAGGAAAAGAAACTCTCCTCCTTTTGGATCCCTTCGTTGGGGACACTTATCCAAGGCACAGAACAGAAACTGACTAGGGAATACTCACAACATTATATATTATATATGAAACTGCATCTGACAAAATCAACTTCATCCTCTTCCGAATCTGTTAACTGTCCACTATGTGTACTGGATGGACTAGTGTCCCTCCCAAAATTCATGGCCACCAGAACCTCAGAATGTGACTTTATTTGGAAATAGGGTCTCTGCAGATGTCATTAGTTGAGATGAGGGCATACTGAATTAGGGCAGGCCCTACATCCCCTGACTGGTGATTCTTCCTTAGAGCATTCAGGGGGAACACAGCCCTGCTGATGCCTTGACTTTGACATCTAGCCTCCAGAACCTGGAGAGAATAAATCTGTCGTCTTAAGCCACCCAGTTTGTAGTTTTTTCTTACAGCAGCCCCAGGAACTTAATACACCACGTAAACCTTAAGAAATATATTGAAAAGACAAAAACCCTGAGATTCAAACATAGCCCTTTAAGGTTTATTTGTAACATGTGAATTCTTACTTGATAAATCCACAGGAACACATTCTACCGTGACGTTTAGCTGCCCAGGAATAATCTGCAATTTGGTCTTCTCCGGCCTAGGGGTCAAATGAGAATATTTTATACTTAAAATCTATGATTACGGAATGCACCGGTTGCCCTATATGCAAACTTCCAAATGCTTCCAAATGCAAAAATGCTCCAAAGCATTCAGCTTCTCCCATATATGACTCACATTTACCACTTTAAGAAATTATAATCCATCTATTGTATTGATTTACTACAATAACACACTTACTTCTTGTATTCTGAGAGTAACTTGAGAATGTCTTCATTTGAAAGCTTGCTACTGTCTTGTTTATACAAAGGAGAAAACCTCCCATCCAGATCCAGAGAACCTTGAGTATCTTTGAAAATGGGTCTAAAACAGCAAAAGAATTTTTTTTTTTTTTTAATTCTGAAGTACTGAGAAACGAAGACACACTTAATGCTGGTATGTGTACAAAATGGTAAAACGACTTCGGAAACTCGCTCGGCCATTTCTCATGAAGTTGAGCACACACCTGCCCTCTGATCCTGCCATGCCGCTACTCTGGGCATATTTCCGCATGGTGCATGAAATGTTCAGAGCAGATGTGTTTGTTATAGCCCCAAAAGGAAACGGCCCAGAGAGTCATCCACAAGCGAATGGCTAAACGGTGGGGTATTCATACAAGAAACCAAACGCAAGAGTACATTCTGCACGACTCCGTTTGCATGAAGGTCTCGAGTAGAAAAAAAGCCCTCGGTAGTGATAACCATCGGTCGATGGCTGACCGGTGGGAGTGGGATGACAGACCGGACAGGGGTGTGAGGAAACTTTCTGAAGTGATGGACACGTTCTAGACCTTGGTTGGAGCGGTAGTTACAGGACGGTAAACACGTGTGAAAATTCATCAAGTCAGATATATAAAATGTGTGCCTTGGAATCAAAGGTAAAGAGTATCTCAAAGTTGAGGACCGTTAAATTCGATCTTTGGGGCACCTCTGTTAGGCATCCGACTCTTGATTTCGGTTCAGGTCATGATCTCCCGGTTCGTGAGTTCAAGCCCCTCTTCGGGCTCTGTGCTGACAGCTCAGCCTGGAGCCTGCTTGCGATGCCCTGTCTCCCTCGCTCTCCCTCACTCTCTGCTCCCCACTCCCCGCCGCCCCCCCCCCCCCAGGCTCATGCTCTCGCTCTTAAAATAAATAAACATTTAAAAAAAAAAAGAAACTAGATCTTTAAGATCTATTTACAAAGTTTACAAAAGGTCTATAGAGTTTCCGATATGGATTTGGATTATTCCCTGCCTCTTCCCCTTCTCCCGTTTGTAAGCAGTGACTTACTACTAAAATGAAAAGTAATGTACAAGCACCCAGCCCGACTGAAGCAGCCCTAACCAGAAACATAATTCCCCTTGGCAGAGCCTCTGAAGATTCGGTTCTAGGCATGAACTACTGTTCCTACTTCGAAGCATACCTCCTTTATTTTCAGTAAACAGGGCTTTATCATATATTGTTAAAATATCCCAGGCAAGCCTTTAGAGTGAGTTTTTGCTGCTGTTGACGAGCAAAACAATTCCAGAAGGAAAAAAGAGGGTCATTCCTCATCACAACTGGGGAGCAGAGCTCCCAACTTTGAAGACTTTTGAATTAATTTTCCTCCTGACAAAACGGCATCAAACAGCCGGAGTGGGCGGAGGTCATGGGCCGTGGGTGCTGAGTCCTACTCTGCTACATGCTGTGGGAAGCCGGACAAGGATTTTTCGGTAATTTTTTTAAAAATCCTTATTTATTTTTGAGAGAGAGAGAGAGAGACATAGTGTGAACAGGGGAAGGAGCTGAGAGAGAGGGAGACGCAGAATCCGAAGCAGGTTCCAGGCTCCGAGCCGTCAGCACAGAGCCCGACGCGGGGTTCAAACTCACGGACCGCGAGATCACGACCCGAGCCGAAGTCGGACGCTTAACCGAATGAGCCATCCAGGTGCCCCAAGGGTTTTTTGGGGGTTTTTTTTGTTTGTTTGTTTTTAGTTCTATGCCTGAATTTCCTCATCTCCAGGGTAGGAATAACAGTACCCCCCTCTTGGGAAGGTGCACGTTAAGCACTTAGACCACTGTCTTGTGCAGGGTTAACGCCTAACTATAAATACTAACCACGGCAGCAAGTGACTTCTCAGGCTGCAGCACCACTAAGGACGTGCAGATTTACAAGCCATGCTTCACCTTCTATAATGCCTAAATAGACCCACAACCTCTGCTCCTCTTCGCCATTCACCTAACCTTGGCTGTCATTTTTTCTTCACCAGTCTGCGAAGCAAGGACCATGTGCCTTTTCGTCTACCGACACGCAAAACATTTTGAAACCTTCCCCAAAATGAAGCGATTATAAATAGCGACAGAAGGGTTAATTAACTTAGAATCTCCTACCCTTCTGCTACTTCCCAACACCCACTGAACATAATTGATTGAATTATTCAGAACACGGTGCCCTTCCCTTCCCCCAGAAGTTCCAGGGAGCTGTACAGGCTGTACCTCAAACAAGCCAGTGAACTTGTATTTCAAAGGGGGGATAAGCAACAAACACATGTGAAGTCGTCACTGTACGTAGACTTGTGGGGGGGAAACTAATGTGACCTACCATACGACAGAAGGTATAGATAACATGCTTTCAGATACACTACCTGTGAAGGGCCAGAAAAGCAAGTCGATTCATTAATTACACACTTGCACTTAACCGCATTCTCTTGCCTTCTGATTTTTAGTACGTTTTCCAGAAATATCCCAGGATAGCTTTTCGAAGCCTAAACCTAGCCAACTGTGAAATAGTGGGCACGCCGTACAAAATTCCCTACAATTGCTGGTTTTCTGGGGCAAACAATTCCCTTAGTTTAGCAAATAAGTTCTGCTTTGAAATGCAATAAAATTAAGTGGGGTCCGTCAGCTCAGGAACCCCAGCCAAAGAAGATTTCCCTGAGGCACGGACGTATGAAGAAATGAGAGGGTCTTGAATGCACGGCGAATTTTAAGAGAAAGAGTTCGTATATCCTGTTACGGATTTCACGTTTGCGCCCTCCCGCCCAAGTTCCCATGGTGGAAACCGAAAGCCCAAGGTGATGGGTATTAGGAGGAGGGGCCCGGGGCAGGTGATGAGGTCCGAGGGCGCCCTCGTGAATGGGATTAGCACCCTTAGAAAAGGCCAGAAAGCAAGCTCGCTTCCTTTCCGCTACGGCAAGACAAAGAAGAAGTCGGCTGTCCGCAACCTGCAAGGTGCTTTGCTCACCAGAACCTGGCTGTGCTGGCACCTTTATCTCAGACTCCCAGCCTCCAGCACCGTGAGAGAGAAATGTTTTGTTGCTGAAGCCTACTGTCGGTCTCCAATGATTTGTCATCGCAGCCCCGGACGGATGAAGGACACACCATGAGCGTCCCGAGACAGAACCGGGTTGGCAGAGACCAACTGCTAAATGCCGCCGGCAAGGACCACAACCCTGAACTTTACACAGGAGGGCGAACAGAAAGGTCAGGATTATATGTGCACAAACCTGGCAGCCCAAGCAAAGGGCATTCTGTACTGTCCGAGGCGGCTACATACTTGCTTTGCTGTCCTGTGCACCTTCTGCGCCGTCTGAGGTCAGAAATAAGAAGAAACGCTCATATTTGTTGAAACTACCAGAGACTCGCCGCGAAAAATCACACCCCCCCCCCCCGCCCCCGCTTACTCGTGGAAAACATCAAAGTCCAGCCAAAGAGATAAGGAAGGTGCTACAAATAAGACACAATGCTACCCACCTTCCAGGACCAACGTTTTCTTAAAAGTTTTGTGTTTTCTCATTGGATGGAAATAGACGTAGGGCACGTTTTGTACCAAAGACCCGTAGTGGGGAAATTCTGAGCAGGTCTAATGTGTGTTTCCTTTCACACACGAGCAGGCAGACATTCATTATTCTTGGGAGAAGTTTGTTCTCAATACAGTTGACCTTTCTACTCCCAAGATAAAAGCCGAGTGACCAAGAGTCAATGCAATTAGTTTAGTTAGGCAAGGAGCTGCTGTTTGCGCAGGCACTAGGAGATGACAAAAGATTAACGGCCCATAGAGTCTCAACAGGCTGTGAAATGCTGGCTGGATGCTTATCCCTTGGGATGCGAAATGCTAGCAGGCCTTTATCTACGTCCTGGAGACTCCCCCCGACCCCCAAACACACAAATTAGCACAGCTAATGAGCTGTGCCATGAACGCTTCCCCTCTCTGGGCCTCCGTCTCCGTCTTCTCATTTATAAAATGAGGGGAAAGGACCACGTCGCCGATTGCCAAAGTGCGGATTTCGTGATCCAGACATTTGGATGATTACATGCCATCCGAAGACACCCAGCAGTAAAAACCATCGCTACCATTTAAAATGCCAACATTTCACAAAAAGACTCATCGGTGTGATGTTTCAAACGTAGGAAGAACAAAAATCTCAGAATAAAGGGCAGCCCCTCGAACTGAATACATTCAGCTTCCTGCGTTGAACTCCTTCTCCTGTCTTTCTTTTCGTATCACAGACAGGAGGAAATTTCAGTGCAGACCGGCATTTGGGAACTGCGGGGCCGGACTTCCCAGCTCTGACATTCTAGGGCTGTATGTGAGGGCTGGAAATAAAGAACAGCTATCGCCAAGGATACGGCGTCAATGAACAGATGTCGCCTAAAAGCCTTTAGCTCTTACTTTGATAAGCAACCAGAAATCAGACTGTCAAGTAAACAGAACATAAAACGGACAAAAGTCACGTTCAAGCTTAGCATGCATACTCACATAGCATACAGTATTTCCAGAATATACCGTGTACTGAGAGAATGAGGTTTTCTTGAGGGTTCATTAACAATACCGTTAAATACACCAGTAAAACGCAATTTTTACATTAGGCTGAAACGCTCGCAAACGATCTTTATAAATACCTTTGCTGGGTCTGAATTTTTGATGTAGGGTTCTGCACAGTGTGTAATGTTTCCCTGGAGCACCTTTTCAATTCTCGCAACTAGAAAAATTTCAGGATGTGGATTCGTCACCGAGAAAATTCCCTGGGGAAAAAAAAAATGGCTTCCATTAGATGTTTTTATGTAACTTCATACATATAGTTGCGTGGCTAATGGTTCCTAGTAGTGTGTTTAGCATAGCATGTTGACATCCAAAACAGGGTCGTGTCCAGGACCCTGAAAATAGACAGCGTTTCCTTTCATACAGTTTCTAAAACTCCCAATACTTCTTTCAAAACAGATTTTCTATTTAAAAAAATTTTTTAATGTTTATTTATTTTGAGAGAGAGAGGGCACAAGTGGGGGAGAGGGAGAGAGAGGGAGTGAAAATTCCAAACAGGCTCCGCGCTGCCAGCACAGAGCCCGATGCGGGGCTCAGACTCACAGACCGTGAGATGGTGACCTGAGCCGAGATCAAGAGTCAGACGCTTGGGGACCTGGTTCAGTCGGTTAAGCGTCCGACTTCAGCTCAGGTCATGATCTCACGGTTCGTGAGTTCGAGCCCCGCGTCGGGCTCTGTGCTGACGGCTCGGAGCCCGGAGCCTGCTTCCAATTGTGGGTCTCCCTCTCTCTCTGCCCCTCCCCCGCTCATGCTCTGTCTCTCTCTCTCTCTCTCTCCAAAATAAACATGAAAAAATTTTTTAAAAGAGTTGGATGCTTAACAGACCGCACCACCCAGGCACCCTCAGGTTTTCTATTTTGTCACCAACTTCACATCTAGTAGTCCCTGAGGGGCAGCTGTCACCATTGCGGCTTAGCCTCTTGTGTTTGGCTGTGTCTGCAAGGTACATTCTTCGGCCTAATTAAGACAGCGCGTATTGTTCGGCTTCGTCGGCATGTGCTAAAATAGTGTGCACTTCTCAAGTGGAACTGGATATGTCTTTTCAAAAGTAGCTGTGCGTAACTCCAGAGCAATTCACTCACAATTAATACTAATTGCAGCTGAGAGGAAGAAAATAAAATACTTCACTGCAGTTAAAGAGCTCCAGCTTTCAATGTGGGGACAGAGGATCCAAAATGTCATTTTCTCCTGCACGCTCCATTTGAGGACACGAATGCAGACGCGACCAAAGTTACGTACGTTTTCTTTTTTCTTTTTAATTTTTTTTACTGTTTATTTTTGAGACACAGAGACAGAGAGAGAGCATGAGCAGGGGAGGTGCAGAGAGAGAGAGGGAGACACAATCTGAAGCAGGCTCCAGGCTCCGAGCCGTCAGCACAGAGCCCGACGTGGGGCTCGAACCCACGGACGGTGAGATCATGACCTGAGCTGAAGTCGGAGGCTCAACCGAGCCACCCAGGCGCCCCTTACGTTTCCTATGAATACATGTGAAACGACCATGTCATCCGCTGTCCAGCTCAGCTCCTTCCAAATACATTATCTGCCAAACAGCCTGTTAGTTGGTTATGTCTGTTGTTCCAAGGAGCGCCGCACAAATGAATTCAAATGGAAAAAGCCATCATTGGGACTCTACCAAGTTTTATTTTGCTACTTGGTATATTACCAACTGTGTTAAGATCATGCGTTCCAGTTTTCAAAACATTTCAGACACATTATCTCATCTGCTCTGGAGAGAACACTCTACAGCATACAGCAAAGAGGAGAAAACTCAGTGTAAGACCCCCAGTCATTCCCCTGCAAATCCAACGACTTGTAAGGACCCTAAGAACGGCAGATTCACCTTTGAATTCCCAAGCCTCGAGCAGGGAAGGAAGTGGTTAAAAACTGCTTGGGAGTCAAATTTCCTGGGTTGAAATTCTGGCTCCACCATTTATAGGTTTAGGCAAGTTGGGGCGCCTGGGTGGCGCAGTCGGTTAAGCGTCTGACTTCAGCCAGGTCACGATCTCGCGGTCCGTGAGTTCGAGCCCCACGTCGGGCTCTGGGCTGATGGCTCAGAGCCTGGAGCCTGTTTCCGATGCTGTGTCTCCCTGTCTCTCTGCCCCTCCCCCGTTCATGCTCTGTCTCTCTCTGTCCCAAAAATAAATAAACGTTGAAAAAAAAAATTTATAGGTTTAGGCAAGTCACGTCCTGTGTCTATGCCTCGGGATTCTCATCTGCAAAATGGGGCCGAGGATGGTAATAGCTATTCCAAAGATTTCCTGTATGGTTTCCATGTACTGCACGTTAGGTACCCAGTCACTACTAAAGTGGCCCAAAGCACTGCAAGGTCACAGAACTTGGTTTCTTTTTTTTTTTTTAATTTTAATTCATTTTGAAAGGGAGAGCATGAGCAGGGGAGGGGCAGAGAGAGAGAGAGAGAGAGGGAGAGACAGAATCCCAAGCAGGCTCCGCACTGTCAGCACAGAGACCGAAGCTGGGCTTGAACACACGAACCGTTGAGATCACGACCTGAGCCGAAACCAGAGTCAGACGCTTAACCAACTGAGCCACCCAGGCGCCCCTGGATCTCTGGTACTCCCAGGAACATGCTGCTCGGGCGTGGAGAGGCGCCTGGCAGCTAGCCCCTGCTGACCTTGCAGAACCTCACCCTTCCCGGTTGTCACCTAGCTGTCCCGGATGGTTTTTGTGCGTTATATCCCTTAGTCTTCAGAAAAACCCTTGAATGCAGGCACTACGACATACCCATTTTACAGAGGGGGAAAAACGAGGCTTATCCAAGCGCATGCGGTGAGTGGGCAGAGGAGCCTGGCAACCACAGCTTCCAGACTATACATATAGCCCAGGCTATGCTGCCTCAGCCCTGGAGCGCACGCATCCAACATCTCACACAACGAGGCCGGATGAGAAGAGCAATACTGGTTATTGTGACAGCTAACGTTCACTGAGCACCTGCTATTCTCCCTTCCCGGGACGCTGAGCATCTTCCCACACGGATGCCAGCAAGGAGTATTAGAATTTGGAAAACTCTGACAGTGGCGAGGAGCAAGGTGCTTTCAGAGAGCGAGGTGCCCTCTCCCTGTCCCCAGAACACAGAAGGGTAGCCAGAGAGTGCCCGGGAATGCCATATGGGCTGGGAGTCTGGCCCTTGTAGACAAGGCCTCTGGCCCAGCCATCCTTTCCCACCAAGGAGGCATGGGTGTGCCTGCCCCCAGCCCCAGGGTAATTCTAACCCACTTCAGTGCCCCTCTCCCTCTGAAGAGTGGGTCGAGTCCCCCCATCCCAGCGCCCGGCACTTACATACCCCATAGCACGGCAAGGCTTTGGGGGGGGGAGTCTGTACCCTTTCCCCAGCCCAACAACTGCTCCCCCCGCCAGGGGGGGAGCCCACACAGCCACAGGGAGGCAGGCCCCCACGAGTCAGCATCTCCCCCACAACCCCAATCCAAAGTAAATCAGGTCTGACCTTGGGAGGCACGGGGGGCCGAGCTCTGTCAGGGCATCTGGGAAGAAAGTGCCAGGCAACTGAGAATAAAGGGACTGGTCATAGTGACTGTTTGATGTCAGGGAGGCAGAACTACTCGATGGATCCAACTCCTTCCTTCTCCTGTGGTCACCCTGTTGGTCCTCAGGGAAGCCACTGGAGAGAAAGACTCCAATGAACAGATGGCAATGGAGGGCCTAGAATGGCCCCCAAACACCCACCGTCCACCAAACCCTGGGAGCTGCCTCTTCCTATAGATAATGCTGCCATCTGAATAGCCCTGCTGGAAGGGACGGAGCTGCCCGAAAGTCCTTTCTGGAAATGCCTGGGGAACTGGGTAGTTTCCCCTCTTTCTAGGGTGACACGGAAGCAGTACTGTACAGGGGTAAAAACCTGGCCTCTGAAACTGGCCAGAGCCAGTTTCGGGTCCTGTCCTTCATCTTCTAAGTTCTGGGACTTTGGGCAAGCTACTCCTGGAGGGCTCTGTGCCTCAGTGTGCTCATCTGTAAAATGGGTATGGTCACAGTACCCACCTACTTTGCTGGGGTGTGGTGAAAATAAGGGACTCCGTAAAGGAGCAAGAGAAACACAATGGCACCAAGACTTGTTGTTACTGCTCAAGAACCGACAAGCTGGGATTTGGGCTCCGATCTGCTAACATCCAGTCTCTCTCTGACACAGCACGGCTTCCTAGTCGTAAATGGGAAGAAGTAGGGGGGGGGGGGACCTTCTCCAAAATAGAATGTTCAACTAATTGGAGTAAATGACCACCTCCTGGTATCATCATCAGCTGACCTGAAAAGGGTGCAAGACGATCAAGCCATTTAGGGCCACTGCCCATCGCTGTCCCCTTCTCACCTCTCATGTACTCCTGAGGTTTCTGTCAAGCCCCACATCTTCCGCGCAGCCCCCTCTCCGTTAACTCCCGACCCCTGAACCCTCCTTGCGTTCCGAATGCGTCTCCTACCACTGCGTTAGAGGCCGCAGCCCTTACTTACGTTGTTCCAGACATTGTCGATTGGGGTCTTTCGGCCCGACCTTGGTTCCGAGCCTGCCTTCCCCACTCTGTGACCACGTTATGGTGGCCAGCTTACTTCACCTCCCGATCTGTCCTTCCCTCACCTCCCCAACAGCAGTAATGATACTATTTCACAACACTGTGATGATTGCATGAGACCCCAATGGAAAATTCTGGCATACCAGAGATATTGAAAAAAAAAACCGAAAAAACCTGCTGCTTTTCTTCCTGACCTAGATTACAGGTGGGATGATGCCCACGACCACAATTACAACTCCATGCCTTGAACATACAAGCTGAGCAATGGGGAAGTAATACAGTAAATACATCACTGGCTTCAAAGGACTTCTTTGATACGGTGCAGGAAATTTTACGCAAAATTCCGTAGCAGACTCTTAAATACTTTTATGCTGTATTTGCTCAATCTTTTTTAAATTTATTTAAAAAAAAATTTTTTATAATGTTCATTTTTTTTTTTTTTTGAGAGACAGAGAGAGAGACACAGTGTGAGCAGGGGAGGGGCAGAGAGAGAGGCAGAAACTGAAGCAGGCTTCAGGCTCTGAGCTGTCAGCACAGAGCCCGACGTGGGATTCGAGCCCACAAACTAGGAGATCGTGACCTGAGCCGAAGTCTGCCGCTTAACCGACGGAGCCATGCAGGTGCCCCTCAATGTCTTTTTTTAAATGTTTGTTTATTTTTGAGAGAGAGAGAGCCAGCAGGGGAGGGGCAAAGAGAGAGGGGGACACAGGATCCGAAGCAGGCTCTGCACTGACGCAGCGAGCCGTCCCGATGCAGGGCTCGAACTCACAAACCTTGAGATCATGACCTGAGCTGAAGTCGAATGCTCAATCTCTTTCAGAAGCATATGCTGCAGTAGTGAACATATGTTCACATATGTGATAAGTATAATCTGAGCAACAAACTAAGAGGCAACATGGGGAAAGCCCAAAGAGGGAAGTTCACTGTACATGTAAAGTCTTCCCCCAGCATGCAGCAATCTGTACCAGTGAGCATAATCCTGAACCCAGGAAACCCGGATGCCTGGTATTTATTCTAAGGAGATATCTCAGCAAGCGAGCTAACATGTGTGCACGTGGACGTTCAAAGCAGTGTTATTTACGATACCCCCAAATTACAAATATCCTGGTTAGGTACGTCAATGGAATACTATAAGAGCCTTTAAGGACGTGAGTGACCCAGAGGGCGCCTGGCTGGCTCGGTCGATTGAGCCTCCGACTCTTGATTTCAGCTATCATGATCTCATGGTTCGTGAGCTCGAGCCCCACATCGGGCCCTGCGCTGAAAGTGTGGAGCCTGGTTAGGATTCTTTCCCCCTCCCTCTCCCTCTCTGCCCTTCCCTGACTCTCTCTCTCTCAAAAACAAATAAACATTAAAAAAAAGAAGGGCACCTGGGTGGCTCGGTCGGTTAAGCGTCTGACTTCGGCTCAGGTCATGATCTCACGGTTCGTGGGTTCCAACCCAGAGTCGGGCTCTGTGCTGACAGCTCGGAGCCTGGAGCCTGCTTCGGATTCTGTGTCTCCCTCTCTGTCTGCCCCTCCCCAACTCATGCTCTGTCTTTCTCTCTCTCAAAACCAAATAAATATACATTAACAAAAAGAAATTTAGGGGCGCCTGGGTGGTTGAGCGGCCGACTTCGGCTCAGGCCATCATCTCACAGTTCGTGGGTTCGAGCCCCACATCAGGCTCTGTGCTGACGGCTCGGAGCCTGGAGCCTGCTTCAGATTATGTGTCTCCTTCTCTCTCTGCGCTTCCCCCGCTCGCTTTCTCTCTCTCTCTCTCTCTCTCTCTCTCTCTCTCTCTCTCAATAATAAATAAACGTTGAAAAAAAGAAAGCAGAAACTTAAACCCTATGCTACATTCTATTTTCCCTGGAGTTGCAAAAGTCGAGAAGGAAGACCATCAGTTCTGCTCTGCCTAACCTCTCATGGCTGCCAGTCTGGTCAGAGGTCAAAATGGCAGGGAAGCGTCAGGCTCCTTGTGAAGGGGCTTCTTTGCACCAGACAAGACAGAAGGGCACAGCATTACATATGTGACATGAGCAGCTCCCTCCTGTTGCTCTGCAACCAGAACTCCTCGTTATAAAGACCCTTTATGCTCCATTAAAACTACCTATTCATGTGGGGTCAGCATGAACACTGCCAGCTCACAAATGAAGCTTCCAGATTCCAGACAACATGGGAGACCGGCTCTGGGGCATCCACTGCCAAGCCACCGACAGGAATAATTTCTGGAGGAATCTGTGGGGACCTTTTGCTGTAGGGGGGTTGGCTGGCCAGGAATTTGAGGGACACTGACCTTAATGGCACCGCAGCCAGGGGTGTAGCCAGATAGACACATGGAACCCCTAGGTTGTTCTCGAACCTTCTGGAAAGAGAGCCTCCAGTCTGTGACCATCACAAGATTTGCCCTGATGGTGGCCGAAATTTCACTCAGATGGGCACCTTCCCTTCCTTGCCTAATTTCCTCTTCTTCATGGAGTCTGCTGGGAACTCCATTCTTGGATCCATAGTCAGGCTTCGGCTACAGCGTTATCCTCTGTTCTGTAAAGTTCTGTACACAGTTCCTAAGTTTCTGCAAGGGGGTGACCTCTGCTCATGTCCTAAGGAAAAATCTAATGTGGGGGCACAAAGCCGGCTCAGTCAGAAGAACGCGTGACTCTTGATCTCAGGGTTGTGGGTTCGAGCCTCACACTGGGTGCAGGGATTACTTAAATAAAACTCAAACAAAAATTTTTTTTTAATCTGAGGAAGGGGCGTGTGGGTGGCTCAGTCGGTCGAGCGTCTACCTTCAGGTCAGGTCATGAGCCTATGATTTTTTGAGTTCGAGCCCCGCATCGGGCTCACTGCTGTCAGTGTCCCCCTCTCCCTCTGCCCCTCCCCCGCTTACAATCTCTGTCTCTCTCTCCCTCCCTCAAAAATTAAAAAACAAAACAAAACCTAAGGAAAAACCTAATGGTGTCTTAAGAAATCTCTGAAATAAAGACTGCGCACCAAGACAAAAACCAAAAGCAAACACAAGCTACCTACTAATGGAAATGGGAATTAGGGACAGGAGATGATCGTCGGGTCAATTTCTTTCTTCAGAGAAACTGGCCTTTCAGGCACCTACTGCCTTGCTCAGAAGTGTGCCCGAGTGTGGCCGTGTGTCTGTGCCTGTCCGTGTCACCTTCGTTGTCCAGCTCACAGGATACTTCCTCTGAGAGTCCCGTCACGGTCCCGCTGAAAAGGTGACTTCGCTGACCCACTACCGGCGCATGCTGGTTTCCATCCTGTCCCTCTAACGTCAGTCCCCAGGGGAAAACATCTAGACACACACCTTTACAAGAGACGCCCACGAAAGCATCGTGTGAGCGGATGAAACCACCCAAGGGGCTTTCCGTTTCTTATTCCGAACGCTAGAAGATCGCGCTCTACCTGCTTTATGTAGCGTAACTGGGATTCTGCAACTCCATGAATAAAAGACTCTGGTAAAGAGCTTCTCGGGTGTCCGTCGGCGGCCAGTTGCGCAGAAGCACCCCACAGCATTTCACGGACAGGCGGGGGATTCAGGTCTATGTGGAAGTCAGCTGAAATCTTACAATTGTTCCTCACATCAAATAAAGCGAGATTGATAAAAAAGGGTTCAACCTGGAATGAAAACAAGGGCATGTTGAAGCGAAGACCTTTCGGTGGGGTGCGGGAGGGAAGACACAGGACAAAACAATGTTTTTATTCCTCGAGGCGCGGTGATTACGGCTCTTTTCTGAGTAGAACAGCTACGACGACGACGGCTTTCGGGCTCGTTTGCATATAAGAAAGAGTATTCTAAAATAACAGGCTATCAAATGTTCACTTTTGTCAGGCGTAAATAATTTTACAAGTCGTATGTTTTTTCTAACGCGTCCAACTCCGAAGGCACATTTAAAGCACGCCAATTGTTCTATGAATAAAATGTAATTCTCGGTAGGTTTACTGACATTACTGAAAAATAATGCCAATATTGTAGAATAGACCTAAATCTTCCCTTTTGTTATGCTACCGCTTACTTGATGATACATTTAATAAGTGCTAATATCCATCAACATCAAATTACTTGACAAAAGCTTTGCCCCGTCAGCAGTTTGGGAAGGCCAGGATTCCTCCCTACAGATGGCATTTGAAAGCCGGTCACAAAGAGCGATTTTGTGCCAAACGGCATAAAGATTAACCCTTTATCCACAGAAAGTCTGCCGGTGCCTTGCAGCTACTTTGGAAGGGACTAAATCCTCACTGTGGATACTTTTCAAAGACAAAGCCAGAACCAAAAACTAAAGATGGACAGAAAACGCCGTCTCTTTGGTGATTTAACATTTACAGTTGCAAGTATTTCTGAGTAACTCAAATGATCCGTGACAGCTACTAATTACAGTTTTCGGTGAAGAACAAAATGAACTCACTCGAGGAGAACGAGTGAGGCTAGCTGACTGCAGAGCATCCGTATCCCCGCCTGGGGACACCCCGTGATGGGCCAGGTCACAGAAGAAGTCCTATTCTCTGGGAGAATTCGCAACAAGGAGGATTTTCCAGGTTCTGGGGACATGTCCCTTGTGAACGTCAACACCCTTCTCTATCTGCTGTTTTGAATAGGTCAAGACGTTCGGGAATCCTCTCAAGACGAGACCATATTCATATTTTGGCCAAAGAGAAATGCCAAATGACACGAAATGCCTCCGTGTCAAATCCCATAAATTCGTTCTAGTGACAAAGCAAAAACAGCATTTCCTCAATGCCCTGCTTTAGGGGAGGTGGAAGGACAAGTCATACATACATTTGTGGCCGGTCCTCTTGCATGGTCTCCAACTTGACCCAAGACATTGAAAGTTAAATCATGGCAGTTTACCAGGAAACGTTTATTGCACTTTTCCTCGAATGGCTTTATATCAGGCTCGATTCCTGAAAAGTCCAACCTCTACAAAACAGAGGAGAAGAAGTCATTTTGTTAAAAAGAGGATTCATAGGAATATAGGTCTTTAAGTAAAAACCGCAGAACCCTACAGTTTTCTATTCATACTTCATTTGAACTTTTTATTTTATTTTTTTCACTCGGTAAGCCTTTGTAGAGCTCTTACACTAAGGTTCAAACACCGACAGAGAAATCCTAGAGGGAGATGATGAGACTCTGATCTAAGGCATTGGAAAAGTCACAGGTCTGTACCATGGCCGACAAAGCCCTATAGGACGTGAGTCCCTACCTCCCCCAACTCCTCTGACCCCATCCCCCACCACTCTTGCCTCCCCCCCACCCACACGCGCGGTTCCAGCCACACTGGCCTCCTTGTTTATTTCTCCAAGACCCCAAGCACACTCCCGCCTCAGGGCCTTTGCACTTGCTGTTCTGTCAGTTAGATGCATGCCTTACTCCCTAATTTCATTCATGTCTCCGGTCACTTGGCATTTCCACAGAGACCTTCCTTCACTCCCTATAGAGAACTGCACACTCTGACAGTCTATACACTCCCTTTCCTTGATTTAAGTTCGCTAACACGACTTTTTTGGTATGTACTTAGTGGTGACGGGCCTTCCCCACAAAACATACGTTCCAGGATGATAGAGATTTTTTTGTTGTTGTCTTTTATGAGGTGTGCAGGGGGGGCAAAAGTGCCACGAATGGACATGCGAGGCATCCAGAATGACACGGTGGTCCCTAATTGACTGTGCTGTTAGGAACTCAGCTGCGGAATAAAAAAGAATAGCAGATATGGGGGGAGGGGGAGTAGAGACGGTGAGCTCAGTGTGGGATGTGTTCGGTTGGAGTGAGGGAGCCGGGGTCTGGGCTGGAGATGTGAACTAGACCCTGGGGACCACCTACGTTTAAATGATGAACAGAGGGAGAGGCGTCTGCTTCGAAAAGTGACAAACAATGAGCTCAGCTTCTCACAGAGCTGGGGGCTGTACCCTGGCTGCCAGAGAGAGAGAGACTTTTCTTAAATTACTGGTATTTCAATTTTTTTTTTTTTTTTTTTTTTTTTTTAGTTTTAAAAACAGATATTGGGAGTCAAGGAATTCCTCTCGGCAAGGGAGGAATCTGTCCCTCCTCAAAGAAACTCCTAGAATCCTCCTCCTCGGCTCCCACAGCTCAGGCGATCGGAGTCCGTCCGTTTGTTCTGAATATCCGAACAGATTTAACGTTGTGTTCACCAACGGGAGGGGATGCATGGATTGTGGCACAGCTCACTATACCAGAAGATCGGCGACCGGGGAGGCGGAAAGGACTCGGTGAATCGGAGTAGAATATACTGCCAATATGGATAGCTCAAGCCAAGAAACCCAAGGCTTTTTCTCAATTGCCTAAGTAATTCAAGCCAAAACAGGTATTGTGCCGGAAGAATCTTGGATAATTATAGCCCTTCTGACCTAGCCGGCATCACTGACCAAAAAAAATCCTCCTTCAACAGGCCTACATATAACATTCGTACCTGGAAGCACCCTTTTCCTCCCGGGTCTATTTATCTACAAACCGAGCACAAATGTGTGGGACTAGACAGCTCCCTCTTGAACACTTATCTGTAAAGCCGGCTGAGGCCAGTCATTGCCATGGAGATCACTTCTAATTTCCGCCCATTTATCTGCTCTCCTTTCTAGCTTCCTGAGACAGCGGAATGTGAGGAAAACTGGACTAAACCACCCCAGCCCCCAAATCCTTTCCCTTCCGAGGCCTCCAAGTACAGACGCTGGGACACAGAACCTTCCCCCAGGTCTGCCGAGGTGGTCTTTATGCTCTAAGGTCGGGGGTAGAGAGTCTCTCTCAAGACATCGTACTGGGGTCAAAAGAGAAGGCTGACAGCATAGGATGATGGCACTTCACCCAGAAAAGGGACGCAACACATACGACACAGATTTCTCTGCAAGGACACTGCCTTCCCTCCATTACAATCAACCGTTTTGGGCGTCCAAGTGTCACTGCAATGGTGAATTCTTCACCGACGATTGTAGCTCACTGATAACTGCTTTTATGCTTGAGTTCAGTTCCATGACCACAAAAACACTACACCACAAATTTTTTAAAGATACTGGATTGAGTTTCAACCACAGTCAATTGGCTTCTTTGTATACAAGGAAAGAGCCTGACATGTCCAATTAGAGCCCAATCGTGTGGCGGGGGGGGGGGGGGGGGTCGGCAGGGCTCTATGAAAGGCTCAGGCTTGTTTGGAATCAGCAACTTTCTGAATGAGTATCTAAGAACCAGTACTCCGAAGGTCCTACTGTACCCCCCCTTTTTATTTAAATCACATAACTTACACAAGCAATCTAATATTGCTACGGAAAAAAAGTAGGAGAGGGGTGCCTGAGTGGCTCAGCCGGTTAAGCATCCGACGCTCGGTTTCGGCTCAGGTCATGATCTCACGGTTTTGTGAGTTCGAGCCCCACATCGGGCTCTCCACTGACAGCTCAGAGCCTGGAGCCTGCTTCAGATTCTGTCTCTCTCTCTCTCTCTCTGCCCCTCCCCAACTTGTGCTCTCTCTCAAAAATAAACATTTATAAATAAATAAACTTTAAAAAAAAAGAAAGAAAAAAGGAGATAAAACATGTTTTAAAATTTTTCCTCCAAAATTATTTTCTCATATGGTATTTTTATTAAGGAAAAATGCCTGCATTATTGATAGACTATATACTTTTCCCGTGTCAAATTAAAAAAAAAAAATTAAAAAACCGTGCAAAGCAGAAACAAAATCAGTCTTCCCCAAATTATATTTTTCTGATCTATTTTCACTGAGAAAAAAACATAAATGCTATTTATGTAATGCAAACTTTTCGATTTCAAAAAAAATCCCAAAATTTTCATTATAAATCTCACTAGAAAAAAGTGGAAAAAGAATCCGTCTTTCCCCAAATAATTCCATTTTCTCGTGAAGTATGTTAAGAAAAATATTTGTAGGGGCGCCTGGGTGGCTCAGGTGGTTAAGCGTCCGCGGCTCTTGGTTTCAGCTCAGGTCATGATCTCACAGTCATGAGATCGAGCCCCGCATCGGGCTCCCCGCGGAGCGTGAAGCCTGCTTAGGATTCTCTGTCTTTCCCCCTCGCCCTGCCCCACTCTCTTCTCTCTCTCAAAATAAACGAATTTTTTAAAAAAGAAATGTATCTGTAACACTTACATACTGTCAAGTTTTTCCATTTAAACAAATCAGCCTTTGAATGAGAAAATACGGAATTAAACATGAAGTGCACAGATCTTAGTACAAAAAGTGCCTCGCTCTCACGAAAGAGGTTAAAATATGCAACTGCCCATAAACCTGCACATCCCCGCACTAATTTCCCCTTGAAGTGGGATCAAGCCAGACATGAACATCGAGAGTGGAAAATCAACCACATTTCTCATAGGACCTCTTTATACTGCAGAGATCTGCTGTCTCTGGATCACACTTGTATTTAATGGGTTAAAAGAGTACCAGCACCATCTGCAAGGGTTCTTTAATTTATCTCTTTTGAGGAGTGAGATGAACTAAAAAGAATATAGGGAAGGAGGGGGAAAAAAAAAACAAACATGTGTATTCAGTCTCAAACTATTTGCATATGTGACAGTCCTCTTGAGGAAGTTAGCTGTTAAGCTACTTGTTCAAAGTGAACATGACAAATACAGAACAACAGGTATGACCCGGTGGTACAAAACATCAATGGTTTCAACATTTCACAGATGTTGTTTACCTGACTAAGCGATGATTCTTTGATTATTTAAAGAAATAGGTCATTGATACCTGGACTTCCGAATCAAAAGAAAAGAGATTCTGTCTTCCGTCCCCTCTGCTGAGTTTATTTAGCTGTTCAGTTTCTCTGCCGTACTAAAATTAAAAATACACACACCGAACGTTACTTCATTTCCTTCAAAACAGTATTAAATAACATTTAAATATCTAGTTTAGGTGGGGCGCTTGGCTGGCTCAGTTGGGAGAGCGTGCGATTCCAGATCTGGGGGTCGTGAGTTCAAGCCCCGTGATGAGTGTAGAGATTATTTTTAAAAAATACCTAGTTTGTGAAACTACCCTCTGACAGAGCTTCAAAAAATATACTATCTCCCAGTTCCATATAACTTAATGCCGATAAAAAAACGTGTGCTGGGTGGAGAGTCACCATTGCTACGACCCATGATAAGCTGTAGATCAGGTTCTTATACCTTCTATGTGCCTCTCATAACATCAAGAATCTTGATCAACCCACCGTAGTACAAACAAGGAATATGAGAGATTTGAATGCAAAAGAAAAACGAATGACAAAACACTATCTTCTCCACACCCACGGTGCTAGCCATGGGATATCATATACAATTCCGATTCCACCGCTTGAGGAAAAACATAATGGGCTGTATAGCCTGGAATGTCAAAGACTCCAAAAGGATAGATTAAAATCTACAAAATCACAGAAAACCTAGATCAGGGGCTCATGAGCGTGTTCCTAAGGTTTGGAAAATTGCTGTGAAGTTTAAGAGAAGGGAAATTTTTTTTCTTTTAAGAGAGGTGTAAATTTCAAGTAGAAAAAAATAACTTCTAAGCTTATGTAATTTAGTAGTCCAAGAAGAAGAATCAAATGAAAATATCAACAGGTTTAACGAGGATTTAAATGAATAAATGGGGTATAAGCTTCTGCTCTACTATGGTATAGAGTCCACAGAGTAAAATATGTAACCTACTAAGATAGATAGGATAATCGCCTCTACACTTTCCAAGTTAGCTCATTTCAAACTTCAAAGAGTGGAGTAATTAACACAAATGATGTCTGGTCACCAAAATCTTTCTCTGACGAAATTATTCATATACGTGTATGTATGTATTTACATACAGACAGAATATGTGATTTTCACATGAAATTAACAGATGCAGATCATTCGACTGAATATCACGTTCAATATGCATCAATACCCCTTGAACGAAGAATATTTATTTTATGAATGACATTAATAAAGTCACAAAAATTTAACAGTACCTCCTGCCATCTAGGGGGAAAAAAAAAGATATTCTACACTGTTAGCAGGATTTATAGTTGTAAATCCAACTGTAGGAGTGTAACTTTTCTCTTACAATCTCTACCTGTTTCACTAATTTGCTGTGGTTTTTAACTTAGAAATGACATTGCCAAATGGAATCCAGCATTAAAACTAATAGCTAATCCTGCACTGTCTCAGTTGAAGGCAAGTTGCCATAAGAAAGATGTACCTTCATCAGTTCCGGATGCATACTCCTTTCCAAGCTGGCCATGATGTTCTCGGCTTTTCCTTGGCTGCTAGTTTCATCTTCTGCAAATTCATTAAAAGCAGATGTTCCAAACCATGCAGACCATTACTAATCACCTAAGAAGAATATCCTAACTATCTCTCCCACCCCATCCTCTCCTACTAGATTTACTGCAAAGAATTTTGATTATGAAAGCATGGGGAAAACTTTAATGGACTTTTGACAATCTGCCATGAATTCCCTATCCGTTTTAGTCTGGTGATATTTCATGTGTCAGAGCCCGTGAAACATCAACTCTTCAAAACAAAAAAAAAAAAAAAAGAAAGAAAGAAAGAAAGAAAATCTATCAACCTCCATAGTCACTTTTAATGAGGAAGTAGGTCAACCTTCAAGATTAAGAGTTCTGTATTTACCCTACACAAAGGACATTCCTGTGGACTAAAGATAAGAGCTCTACCTCGATAATGAATCATTTAAAAATTCTGACCTTGTGTTGTTTCTACCGTCTCCTTTTTCTCTTGCACTAAACTGTCGGTATTGATCTGAATAATCTTTTTCAAAGTTAGCAACCATTCCTCCATTTCCTGCTCAGTCTCAGCAGCCAGATAATGGCTATACTTATCTAACATCTTGAGTTCGAATGCATGACGGCGCATTTTGGGGCACTAGAGAAAAAGAAGAAAAGAAAAAACAAAAGCATGTGTCCAGTTAGTTACCTTTTCAATATTAGATTTCATTAGTTTATTTTTTACCTCTGCTCAGCACATATGCACGTCAATACTGTCATGAAAGAATTGCTTCTTTCAACAAGAAATAGAAACTCCCAGACGATGAATGACCATGTCAAATGTGCCATTTTTATTCCCCTCTATACTGGGCACAGTGCTACATGCACAAAGTTGGCATTAAGACATGACTTGCTGGCTGAGGATTATCACTTAAGGCCTTTTCCCATCTAGAGAATCGAACCACCAGCATCAAAATAAGCAAATGTTTTTAATTCTTTCTACCCTGCTTAAAGTTTTTCTTGCATATTTACAGATTTTCAAAATCAGCCCTTGGAAACAAGCTCCGATGTGCTTGGAAATAAACCTGGCACTTGCTTTATATCACACCATAAAACGAGGTTTCGATACCTAATTCACGTTACTGTGCATAACATGAAATGCATCACAATAGCATAAACGAAGACTATGGTTGGTTCACATTAAATTGTGGCTCTCGGAAAAAATTATGGGAATGACCTATGCTGCATACTAGCACAGAAGGAAAATAAAAGCCTCCTCCTCTCCTCAAACATGATGACACATTCTTTTACATTACCACCTTCTCTGTCATGACAAAAGAAATGACACACTCTCCCCGCTCCCCACTACCTCAGCATTAATTTCAAGAAAGGTTCATGAATCAGTCATTTTCCACCACGTGGTCATCATTCAAGAAGGAACCAACAAAGTTCCTCCTTCTCATCTTCAAAGTACAGCAAAGCATGAAATCAAACGGCGGTAGCAAATCATCAAGATTTATATATTTGAAAATATTTGGGAGGGGGAATCATAAATGCAAGGAGAAAGCAGCGGCTGGGAACATTATAAAGGGCGGTCAATCTGGACTGGAGCTAATCGAGAAAATCTAGGAATCACGTACCTTCTTTATTCCAGTAAGATAAGAAAGCTGTAGCTTTCTATATATAGGTAACTTTTATTTACATAGATCTTAATATATTTTTTAAACGTTTATTTTGAGAGAGAGGGAGGGAGCGTGCATGTGCACACACCCACACAGACACGTATGCAGACTCACGTGCAAGCTGGGGAGGGGCAGGGCGGGGGGGGGGTGGTGGTGGTGGTGAGGGCGGGGAGGGGAGAGAATCCCAAGCAGGCTCCATGCTGTCAGCGCGGAGCCCGACATGGGGCTCAACCTCATGAACCGTTAGACCGTGACCTGAGCCAAAATCAAGACCCAGATGCTTAACCGACTGAGCCACCCAGGCGACCCAGATCTTGTTATTTTTTAAAGTGTTTTCTATTCGATCCGCATGACAATCTCATTTGAGTTGAATTCATAGTAAGTGGGATTGATAATAAGATTCAGGCAGGATGAGGACACTGAACCAGCATCTCCTGTCTCTTCATCAGCTGGCTCTGTAGTGATGGCTCCATCTCTTGACCAATCGACTTCCTACTTACGCCATCTGTCTGCCCTGTCTCCCCTTGCCTCTTTGTCCATGGCCCCTCGGTAATTCAAATCAGCAAACACTTGCGAAGCCTCTACTCAGTCCACAACGCTGCTAATTATTACAGGGGACAGAGACATGAATTAAGAGACAGTCCCTCTAATCCCAACATGAGCGGAGTAGAGTATAACATGAGCTGTATAAGGGGAGCAGGGGGCATGAGGTTAGAAAGCGGGGTGAGGCCAAATCACTGTAACCTGTAAGGTCACAGTAAGAGGTTCAGCTCTCCCACTGCAAGATAATAAATCAAGAACCAAGAGGTTTTAAGTAGACAAGTGAAGGACCCTATCTATGTCTGAGGAAGATGGGCAAGACAGACAAAAAGGAGAACCAGAGGAAGGGAATGGCAAGAAGGGAAGAGATCAAGAAGCACTTCGGAGCCAGACTCCGACTGAATACTGGCACAGAGCGAGAACAGGTTCCTAGTGTAAATGTTTTGGTGGACGGAGATGCCACTGACCAAGACAGAAAAATGCTGACGTTCTTAATAGTTGATTGAGAACCCTCTTCAAGAAAGAGAAGGAGGGGCGCCTGGCTGGCTCAGTCGGTTAAGTGCCCGACTCTGGCTCAGGTCATGGTCTCACGGTTCGTGAGTTCGAGCCTCGCATCAGTACAGAGCCTGCTTCTGATCCTCTGTCTCCCTCTCTCGGCCACTCCCCGGCGAGTGCGTGTGTGTGTGTGTGTGCGCGCGCGCACGTGCGCAGGCATGCGTGGGCTCTCTTTCTCTCTCAAAAAATAATAAACATTTAAAAAAAGAAGAAGAAGAAAGAGAAGAAAAGATAACGTCTATAGCCTTACCTGAACAACGTCGATGCAGGCGTCCAGGTAGATGCAACCTTTAGATTCTTTTGAATTTTTCTCATCTTTATAGGAATTGAGAATATATGAACCGTCAGGAAGTTGAGTCAAGTAAAAATACCGTCTCTTGAATACCTACAAGGGGAAAACCCAGCAATGATACATTTGTTACATATACAATGCATTTGAACAGCTTATTCGAACTAAAAACCTTGAAGGGCTTGCCACAGTCATTACATCTGGACAATCTTCAGACAACTCTGAGAAGTTATCAGGAATTACAATTATCTTCACTTTCTTAAGATGAGAAATTTCAAGCCAAGGGATTTCCTCTCAGTTAATCTAGAGAAGACCTTTTTTTGTTTTTTAACACATTTTAACACTTTATTTTTTTTTTTAAGATTTTTTTTTAATTTTTTTTTTTAACGTTTATTTATTTTTGGGGGACAGAGAGAGACAGAGCATGAACGGGGGAGGGGCAGAGAGAGAGGGAGACACAGAATCAGAAACGGGCTCCAGGCTCCGAGCCATCAGCCCAGAGCCCGACGCGGGGCTCGAACTCACGGACCGCGAGATTGTGACCTGGCTGAAGTCGGACGCTCAACCGACTGCGCCACCCAGGTGCCCCTTTTTTTAAGATTTTTAAGGAATCTCTACACACAATGTGGGGCTCGAACCTACAACCCCGAGATCAAGAGTCACATGCTTTTCTGAGTGGGTCAGCCAGGCGCCACTGTTTTAACACTTTAAAGTTGACAAGGCATTGGGGCACCTGGGTGGCTCAGTTAAGCGCCCACCTCTTGATTTGGGGTCAGGTCATGATCTCATGGTTTGTGAGTTCGAGCCCCACGGGAGGGGGTCTGTGCGGACAGTGCGGAGCCTGCTTGGGATTCTGTCTCCCTCTCTCTCTGCCCTTCCCCTGCTTGCTTGCTATCTCTCTCTCTCAAAATAACTGAAAATAAGCTTTTTAAAAAGTCAAGTCTAGGGGCGCCTGGGTGGCGCAGTCGGTTAAGCGTCCGACTTCAGCCAGGTCACGATCTCGCGGTCCGTGAGTTCGAGCCCCGCGTCAGGCTCTGGGCTGATGGCTCAGAGCCTGGAGCGTGCTTCCGATTCTGTGACTCCCTCTCTCTCTGCCCCTCCCCCCTTCATGCTCTGTCTCTCTCTGTTCCAAAAATAAATAAACGTTGAAAAAAAAAATT